GCAGCTCCGCTGATTTCGTCTTCCTGTTTCGACGGGTTTGACCAGAGGGAAGGAGGAGGGAAAGGGTTGTGGTTGGTGGGTTGATCGGCGATGGTAGGAGGGTAAATAGGTGGTGGCAGTGGTGATGTTCTGGTGGTTCCTAGTGGTTTTCTGGTGGCACAACTCTATGACCGGAGGAAGGCGATAGGCGGTGGTGAGAGCGTTGGGGTGGAGGTTTATCACAAGACAATAGGGAGCAAGACAGATCGGAGGAGGTGTCTGGGTGGATTTCCTTGTCCAAAGGAGAGAGAGAGAGAGAGAGAGAGAGAGAGAGAGAGAGAGAGAGAGAGAGAGAGAGAGAGAGAGAGAAAGATTTCATTTTTACTTTTTTTATATAAAAAATTATAAAAATAAATAGAAAATGTAAATTTTCTTTTTTAGTTTTTCTTTTAATAAAAAAAGTATTTAAATAAGAAAAAAACTGAAAAAAGAAAAAAATAATAAGGGCAAAATAGTCATTATGAAAAAGTTTAAAGGAAACTGGATCAAACTCGCAATAAAATGAAAAGTTTGGACCGCTGGTGCTAGTCCAAACTTTTTTAAACCAAAGTGGCAATTTTCAACTAACCATAGGGACCATTTGTGCAGTTTTATCTTTTTTTTACCCTGTGTAAAAAAAATTTAGATTTAGTTTTTTTTTAAAATAAACTAACAGAATGCTCTGTGTAAACAGTTAAACAAAAAACAGGTTTAAAAAAGTTTACACAATATAAGTCACACATGATTATCCAACTTCTAACCGCTAAACCACATCTAATTTGGAAATTTCGAAGAAATAAAGAAAACATTTGAAACAAATGAAAAGTTAAAAACTATAAAATATAAATAAGACAATTTCGACATAAACAAATGGGCTCGGCTTAACACGCTATTAAAAAAAAGTAAAGATGTGTAACACTTAGTTTTACGATGTTTCAGATATCGGGATAACGGGCCGTAAATGGATCGAGTAAATGTTTTGGTTTTCAAGGGAATAGAGTCTAGACTCTTTCAGATGTTGATAATGTTGGATTGAGTGATTTAAGCATTCAATTTGTGCTTTGAAGCAAATGGGTAAAAGGGGAAAAGTAAAATTCGAGTTTCTTGCATGAATTATGGTTTTAAGTTGACATATATTAAGTTAAAAGTAATTATATAGAGTTGTGAGGTTCGTCAATACTTTTCCGTGCATATAAAGATCGCTGACAACGAAGTTGAAACGAAAAAGGTTATGATTGTTTGAAGTTGGAGTATAATCGGATGAAAACCTGTCCTCACGACATGACAAACATGTTGTCACGACTTGAGAGTTGTCACGAGGTGACAAAGAGGCTATCACGTGGTGAGGGATGTGCAGCTCAAGCCCATATATTTTAGGGTTTTTAACGTATTTAAAGTGATGGATGTTTTAGGAATTTTCTTAGCCTCCATCATATCTAGAACTCCTTGGGAGCAACCCTAACCTCCCTTTTCAAGATTTGAGCTCATCCCCTCTCCTATCTCTCCTCTTTTGGATGCTTTTGGTGATATTTTGATAAATCTTGAAGATCAAGAAGATTCTTTTGGTTGCAAGAAATATTATTTCAAGTTTGGATCCATCAAAGTCAATCCATTTATAGACTATTCTGAGTATAAAGTTCATATCTTTCTCTTTAGTTTTTTAGATCTCTTTATTTGTGGTTTTTAACACTTTTGGTCCATTTTATGGGTGATATTGGAGTTCAGTGAACTCCAACATCTTTTGATCGGTTTGAAATGCTTCTTAGACCTCATGGACTAGGAAAGTTATGATCTTTTGCCTTCCCTTTTAGTCATGCAAGGTATCTTGGTCTTTTAGGTCATTTTGGCACATTCAAGTTTAGATCTTGAAAGTTTAAGACATTATTATAGATAAATTTAGAAACTTTATCCATCTAAACATCATTTTGATTTAGATCTGAAGGATAGAGACTTGAACTTCATTGATTAAGTCGAGAAAGATGCATTATTGGTTTTTTTGAGACTTAAAGATTAGATCTTGGTTGTTTGGACTATCCTATTTTATCCATTAAGAGGCTATTTAGGAACTAGATATGAGATTAGGCCATGTTTTAGTGAAGAACAATTCCTTAGAGGATATATCTGAAGAACAGATCCGTAGAGGGCATCTCTGTGGAACAATACACCCACTGTGGAATTAAAATTATATATATATATATTGTCTTTTTCCCTTGTCAAAGTTTTCTTGTTCCTTAGAACCAAAGGACTTCCCGCAGAGGCACTCTGCGGAAGTCGTGGTTGTTTTTCGAAAACTTTTAATTCTTAATCATTTTCTTCAAATAGCCCCTCCATTTTGATCATTTCACAAATTTTCACCTATTTAAAACATCCTGTCAGATTTCAATATTTTTGTTGTTACAGTAGAAATTTTAATATGATTCTTCCAAAATACAATAAATAAAATGTTTATTATCTGGATTGAATCTTGAGTATTTTTTATTTATTATTATTATTATTTTTGTGTGTGTGTTTTAAAACGTATGGTTTTGAGTTTAGACCAATGTTTTTGGTCAAAATTCAACTTTTGCAGTGAGCAGCGATCGCAGTTTCTTTTCTCGGCCATCGCCATTTTCACTAACCACGGAGCAACGTCAGTACGTCACTGGTTGTCGACACCAAATCTGCTGCATATCATTTGGCGACTCATGGCATCATCGTCGACTCATCGTTCCTACCCTCGTTAGTCCTTCCCGCTTAGTGCTAAACCTCGCTCGATCCTTATTCCTTCGCCATTTGCCTATCGCTGGACGCTGATCAGTGATCAACTGATCACCGCTCCTCTCCCCGCTGGAACTCCGGAAGCCTGGAATCGCCAATCAGCTCAGCGCTGTCAGGTATGTTCTCAGAAATCAGAATCTTAGTTCTCTCTATTTCTCTCTTCTCTTTCGGTGAATGTGAATCCGTGTTCTCAGTTGTGTTTTGTCATAAAATTCTTAGTTAATTGATTTCAGATTTCAGATTGTTAGGAGCATTGTTAGTTAATTGATTTCAGATTTCAGATTGTTAGATAAATTTGTTAGATAAATTGTTGCAGAATTTTGCTCATGTTAGATTAATATTGCAGAATTTTGGTTAGGAGCATTGTTATGTTAGATAAATTGTTGCAGAATTTGGCTTGTTGGTTCATGAGCTTACGTTTTGCTTTGTTGCATCAATTTTATTTCTTTTTATCAAACTCCAATCAATTCCAGTTCATTTGCATCAAATTGATTCATGTGAAAACTTTGTATTTTACATGCGTATCAACTGTTTGTTGATATGCCTGAGTGAGATTTTCTTGTAAACATGGAAATTATTGATAGGATGTAGATAGAATATGACGTTACTTGGTCCAATTTGTAAACATTAGCTAGAATGATCAAATCTCAACCTCACTAATTTTGGTTAATACTCTGTTAATACTTGCATATCTGTGAATCCACTTGATGATGATAAACAATTCTTTTTTCTTTGTAGCTATGGAATCCAACCATGGAAAACACAGCATCTTAATGGTATCAGACTTTTTCTACCCAAATTTCGGTGGTGTAGAGAATCACATCTATCTCTTATCACAATGCTTGCTTAAACTTGGCCACAAGGTTAGAAAAATCTAATAAATTCATCACCTCTATTCAAACTTCAAACTTCAAACCAATCAATCACTTTACTTTTTCAGGTTGTTGTCATGACTCATGCATATGCAAATCGTTCAGGGGTAAGATACATGACAAACGGATTAAAAGTCTATTATGTCCCTTGGAAACCATTTCTAATGCAAAACACATTACCAACATTCTATGGAACACTCCCAATTGTGAGAACAATTATCATTCGTGAAAACATCTCATTAATCCATGGTCATCAAGCTTTTTCAACTCTTTGTCATGAAGCTTTAATGCATGCAAGAACAATGGGCTACAAAGTTTTATTCACTGATCATTCATTATATGGTTTTGCTGATATTGGAAGCATTCATATGAACAAAGTACTTCAATTTACTTTAGCAGATGTGAGTCAAGCCATTTGTGTCTCACATACAAGTAAAGAAAACACAGTTTTAAGATCAGGGCTTCCACCTGAAAAGGTTTTTGTTATCCCAAATGCTGTAGACACAACCATGTTCAAACCTGCTTCAGAAAGACTTGTTATGGATCCGATTGTTATTGTTGTCATTAGTAGATTGGTTTATAGAAAAGGTGCAGATTTATTGGTTGAAGTTATTCCTGAAATATGCCGTTTGTACCCCAATGTAAGTTTAATTGACCATTTTACCCTTATGTGAAAAAAGAAACAAAAACTTATATTTTGGTAACATATGTTAAGGTGCGATTCATTATTGGAGGAGATGGACCCAAAAGGGTAAGATTGGAAGAAATGAGGGAAAAACATTCTCTTCAAGATAGAGTTGATATGTTAGGTGCTGTTCCACATGCTAAAGTGAGATCTGTTTTGAACTCTGGTCATATATTCTTGAACAGGTATGTTTATTTATATTTTTATATTTTGGAAAATGTTTCTATATTTAGAAAGTAGGATGCTATAAGTTATAACTATAGTAAACAAATGAATGACTATTTTTTTTATTTGATAGTTCTCTTACAGAGGCATTCTGCATAGCAATACTAGAGGCTGCTAGTTGTGGATTATTAACAGTGAGTACATGTGTTGGGGGTGTACCTGAGGTGTGAATTCAAAAATATTTTTCATTTTTTTTTTTAAATGAACAATTAATAATTTAATATTTATGTTGATTTTTAGGTTCTACCAGATGATATGATAGTTCTTGCTAAGCCAGATCCTAGTGATATGGTTCATGCAATCAAAAAAGCAATCAAGATTCTTCCTCAAATTGATCCACAAGAAATGCATCTTCGTGTAAGTTTTTGCAAAATAAATAATTTTTTATTGAAAAATAACAATTTGAATTATATATTATTAGATCAAAGGAATGTACAGCTGGCAAGATGTTGCCAAAAGAACAGAGATTGTGTATGATCGTGCCTTAAAATGTCCCGATCAAACCCTCTTGGAAAGACTCTCTCGGTAAATTACGTGTTTGGTCCCTGAGTTTAGCTGATGTTTTCAATTTTTGCCACATAAAGTTTTAATTTGCTCTTACATAAAGCATGACTTAGTTTCACTATTTTATTGTGAATTTGTTGTAGGTATCTTACATGTGGTGCATGGGCAGGGAAGCTTTTTTGTTTGGTTATGATTGTTGATTATATCTTATGGCGTTTATTACAAGTGTGGCAGGTATGTTTTCATGTCAATTTACGAAACTACCCCTGGTTTGGTTTTTGCTTGTGGTAATGAATGGCATTTGTGTAAATTTTTGTAGCCGGATACGGAAGTTGAGGTGGTCCCCGATTTAAACCTAAGCAGATCCAATTGTGTTGCACAAGTTCACCCCTCTAATGTATCTAGTTAAATTCACAAATATATAATCTGTAAAAGAAAAGGTGAAGATTTCAAAAACTTGATAAAACTTGCAATTTTGTGTAAACCATGGGGACGATTTATGTAAAAGTTAAACAATCATCTCCACCAACCGAATAATTAATTCCTTACTTTTTTTATAAATATGTAATATAACTTGTACCAATATACAATTTTAAAACTTAATTACAACATAACCGAACAAGGTAAATAAGTAAATAACACCTGTTATTGGATTTGAGCAGCTTTAAATAATTCTTTCCATTTTTCTGTGTTGCTTCCAGGTCCATCACCCTGTAAACCATAATAACATTTCAACCACAATTCATTCCTTTTTGCATTAATGCAAAAAGAACGACTTAACACAGAAAGCCACTTAATGGGATTTTAGATTTTACTCACTGGGACTGAATTGATTTCGTATATTTGACCTTCAGTAAAATCTATATCCAATGCTTGTATGCAAGCTTCAGCAACTACCAGCCTGCTAACCTCTCCTACCAGTTTATCTCCTGGGAAACCACAACCAAATAAATCTAATTTCAAACAAATAATTTTGACTAAATTTGACTTTTTAAGGTTGTGAGTCAGTCAAGTCAACCTTGACCAATAAGGACAGCTCGTCTTTCTCCTGCTGTAGCTTTGAGCAAAGTATTTAGATCATATGACGTGTAAGGTCCATCCGTCAACCTACCAGGTCTAGTTTCAACAAAATATAATATTACATTATCAGTATATTTCTATAAAGATTCCTCAAATTTAAAACATAAATAAAACCCATAAGCCACAAACAAACCTTATTATTGTGTAAGGAATGCCAGAGTTACGAACAAAATCCTCCCCCATCTTCTTATATTTCAGAACACCAAAAAGATTCATGATGCTGAGTCATATCAATCAAGGGTCAAGTCAAACTCAAAGTCAAAGTCAAACTTACAATTAAGGGCATTCAGTCTAATGTATGTCAAACACAGTTAAACCTGTTAGTGTTATTGTTATGTCATACCTCCATGGTAGTTCATTAGACTTGGTTACTCCTACTGATGAAACGAGGATGATTCTTGATAAGGATTGAGGCAGTGTTGACACAAGGTTTCTCACGCCTTCCCAATCTTCAATCACAAATGGGATAGAATGAAGGGGGTATTTTAGGTATTTAATCATTAGTCAAGGACTTGTTGTTAAACTATATATGTATAAAGTTAAACATATATCAGACCTACTCTTTCGGGGGTGTTATCTCCATCCCATCGCCTTGATGGAAAGGCAGTAGTGCCTGTGCAGCAAATAACATGAGTCACACCCTATGAATCAAAACATATAATCAAGCCAATGTTATAAAAATTAATGATTAGTAAAAGAAATGAGAGTATAAAGTATAAACCTCAAACATTGATGGATCAAGATCCCCTGCATTTCGAGTGTCACCTTTCATCACCTACCAAAATCCTTTTTTTAAATAAAAAAAATTCATATCCTGAATTGGTTTCACTAATGAGAAAGGAAGAAAGTCAAAATAAATACTAGCATCCCATCTCATTTCTTACATATCACTTAAAAAAAAATAAAAAAAAATAGACCTGCAATTTCTCCTCTTCATGTTCTCCAAATAGAGTTTTTGCTTTCTCTGGATCTCGGAGTAACAGGCGCAATCTAACATTCCGATTTAGCAATGACGCTACCACTAATTGTCCTGTAGAGAACAAGACCAACAGAACACTAATTGTAAGATTCAGAACGATCAATCGAACCAAAAAAGTCCAAATTCAACCCTAATTTTGAATCGAGGCAACCAAACATGTGCAAATTGCGCAATATTAATATCATCATTACATTGAACAACCACCGATGCTAATAACAAGAACACTAGGTTAAAGGAATTAATCGTACCAACTCCTCCGGTGCCTCCGGTGACAAGAACAAGCTTATTAGACGAAGTAAGAGGTGAAGGAGATTCGGTAGGATTCTGAACTGTTTCCTGTTTCAGTGAATTGCTACAAACAAATGAATTCCGCCTTGAATTGAGCTCTGAACTATGAAGTTTTGTATGAAGCGATGATGATGATGATGAAAAGGAACGGAAAACAAGGCTGGTTTGAAGAAATTGTGTGTGGAATTTCGGGCTTCTGTGGATTGTAAGGTCTGTAATGGGAGTGAGTGATGATAGCTTGGAAGCCATGGAAGAGTGAGAGATAGATGGGAGCTCTTTTTTGGGTGGTCGTTATGGTTTGGTTTTTAACTAAAGAGTAAGTTACAGAAGTGGTACCTGTTTTTTGATTAAATTTTCAGTTTTAGTCCAATTTTAAAAACATGACACAGACAGCTTTATTTATCTTCACCGTTGGCCTATCGAACGTTAAATCTAACTATTTTTGGCTGTTGTAGATATGACTATTTGTTATTGATCACTTATAAACATCAAGATAGAATAGTTATTTATTCATATTCAAATGATGTATTAATTCATTCATTAAAAAAAAGCAATAATATGTTAGCAACATTTAATTCACACTTATATTATTGTCCAGTTAACACATTTTATAAATTCATAACTTGAGAAAGACATGCCGAATCACTTTAGATTATGTGAGGTTACAATTTCTTTAACTTATATTTGAAAAATCTTTCTAATTATAGCAATAAAGATTGATTTGTATTTAATGGCATTGCTATATATACATAGAGTAATAAACATGAAAGCATGTCATGATAAACTAACTTCAAGACTATTCGTTGAAATTACCCATCTAAAATAACATCATTTTTATTATGCTAAGCTTTTAAAACTATAACAACACATATCCAATGATCCAAATAACATCTACCTCATGAAAATTACATTCATCATCACCAAAATTCAACAGAAAAAAAAAAGGTTTTGTTCCACTCCTTTTTATGCATCATATAAATGTTACAAACTCTGTATCCAAGGCACAAAATTACACAAAAAGGCTCAAAGATATGTGGCTTATTTAGGGAAAAGTGAAAAAGAACTAGACTTCATTCCTTCAAGCTCATGTACCTTCATTTGGCTTAGGAATTTTCTTATATTCATAGTTGTTTATGTCAACACTCTGCTGTAAAGCCTACAACCAAAATAATCCCATTGATAAGCTTCAATGAAATTATATTTATATTAAATTATATGTTATACCAATGGATTAGTTTATTGGATATGTTAATATCACCTTTAGCTCCTCCTCTATTGACAAGTTTTTAGGCTTGTAAGCTTCAATGGGCCCTGTTCTTGAAAGGGCTTTTTTAGTTTCAAGAATCTCCCACTCTTGATCATCTTTCACCTTAGCTATATCCTTGCTAAAGTACAAAAGTTGACATCAATATGATGGAAAAAGGTAATGACTTTATTTAATTTAGTAACTGAGTTAACTCACCTTCCCTGTAAAAGATGACCTAACCCAAGTGCTCCAAACACAGTGAGTGAAATCATAGGAAGCCCATATCTGATAAATGGACCTTTTCTTCCCCATCTTTTGAACCCTGAAGCTGAATTCTGAATTTTAGCAGCATTTGTAGATTCAGGTTTGTTAGTAGTATTAGATTGTTGATCCATTGTTGTTCCAATTGTTGTCATCCTTGAACACCACAAAATGACATGTACTGTAATGACAAAATATGAAAACATGAAACAGTTTTGATAAAACATGTATATTAGAATTGATCAGTGAAAACATGCATCTTAAGATAGTACTATATACAATTATACATCCCTCTCAGGCATTTGATCAAACAGCTTGCCTGCGAGGCCAACCATCCCAAATAAGATCGAAAGACAAAAACCATCACACATATGAGCCTTAAGAACACAAATTCAAGCATCTAATTTAAGATACAGAAGGATGTACACAATCAAATATCATACATGATCAGCAAACACATTCCCTTCTTTACAGTTTTCATATATGAACAACAAACAAGTAGCAAATCAGTAGCAGCAAACAAGTTGTGGCTATCGAATGCAGAAAAAAAAGGAAGGAATCAGACCAACATCAATTCATAATAACACTAGCATTAATTGATAACCTTGAAATTGGTATCAAGATATCAAGATTGGCGATTTCAAAAGAAAACAGAAAAAAAAAAAAAGGAAGAAAAATAGAACCTGGGTGGGGTGCGACGGTGTAGCTGTGGCTATCGAAGGTCTCCTTCCGGTGGCTTCACAGGAGCGGCGACGGCATACGGCGGCGAGCAGGGAGGGAGTCGACGTGAGAGCAGTCGGGAGAGAGGCGACGCTGTAACGGAGTCGTAACAATAAAGGTAAGGTTTTATTAGTTTAATGGGTATATTGGTCAATTGACAAATTAGGTGAAGCATAGAGTTTTTGATAAATCGGGGAAGGGAAACTTATAAAAAATGAAGTAAATTACACGTCCATTGGTTTCCGGTAATTTTCACAATCGCTTAGTATTTATTAGACCTAAAAATATCATATTCTCTCTTCAATAGTTTATATTTATATTCTTTCTCGAGAGAGAATATGATCTCTCGAATAGTTTATATTTTTTTTGTTATGAGCTTAGTATTTATTAGACCTAAAAAGATCATATTCTCCTTACTATTTATTTACGCCCTTTTATATTTATTAATTTTATTAAAAATAGAAATATACGAGCCCTTTCTTTTTCTCTTTCCATATACTAAAGACGTGAAAACAAGCCTCCCTTCTTGCTTTTTTTTTTCTACGGACACTCCCATCTCCACCACCACCACCCTTCTTCATCCTCCCTTCTCACTCTTCATTTGAAACCTGCATCACACACCCTTCCTTTTTTTCCCTACACATATAGAAGAACATAAACTTGCATCTCTTGTTTCCATAAAACTACGCCGTTCTTGTTCCTTCATACAACTTGCACTAATTTATGTATTCAGGTATTGAGCCCTACACAAACGTTGGTTTGTAGATCCCCACAACAACCAATTTGTAGATATGACCACCAATTCATCCCCATACACGATTCATCAATGAAGACGATGAGATAAGCAATTGTCATCAACCTGGCAGCACAGATGTTGCCTTACCCCTCAACCCTCACCATAATCGTAATTTTAAACTCACTTTCTCTCACACTCCGAATCTCATTCTTTCTTTGTCGCAATTCACTACCTTTCGTCCTTATTGTATGTCTCAAATCCCAAATAAGAATTGAAAATCACTAAATTGGAACTCGTCCAGGGCCATTGCCTCCTTGGTCCTCCGTGACTTGAAAAAAGTCATTATTTAACGTAATGCTTGTCGATTTCATGCTTTTAGGTTAGCAATGGTAGAAGAGAAAGGGGTTGGTTGGAATTTAGAACATAGGGTGAAGGGTGATGGCGTTGGCATGTTGGAAAACAAAATGAAACCCATAAATTAGAGATCGAAATGTTTGAAACTCTATATGAGAAGAAGAACAATGAAGCAGATGATATTTCAAACTCCATCAACAGCCTGAAAGTTCACCAGCAGCTTCAGTATGTCCAGAATCAAATGAATTACTATAAAAGAAAGGATGGGAGCAGGGGAAGTGATAGATCTAGGAAGAAGGTCAATTGAAATAAACATCTCATAACTCGATTTTGATCAATGGTTGAGTTCTTAAGCTTCTAACCACATAGATTCCAGCGAGCTTGATGAATCTAGCTACACTATAATAGGTTTTTCAGAGATCAGGTGAACCTCTTAAAATGGGAAGAAAGCCATAGCTTCCATGTGTCTCACTTTTTAACCCCACAAAAATGATCGATTAACCTAAAGCAAATAAATTAAAAACTAAATTAGCCGTTCTCCGGCAACGACGCCAAAAACTTGATATGTGCAATACATATCAAGTTTCTAGCTTTAAATTTATAACCTAACTACTTATCTACTAATGCACCTATAGGTAGTGTATCTAGTAAGTTTATAGTATAGTAAAGTAAGTCGGGTATCGAACACAAGAAACAGATTTAATTAACTAATTTAACTACTAAAAATTAACCTAAAATTAGCAAAAGTTAAATTGGTCTTTATCTAATTTTGCGGGTTCAAACAAACTCAATCACTTAACTAATGAATTTAATCAATATATTAAAAATACTTCTGTTTAGTTCGAATCCACTTCTCCTTTATGGTTAACTACTAATTATGGATTATTAATGATGGTTATTATATTATTATGTAATTAGCAACTCTAGTCCAAATTTACTAATATTTTCTCAAATTCATGTAAAACTATGTATGATCATACACTAGCAAACATAGAAACAGAGATATAAGAGGCAGACAAGCTATGTAAGCTTAATCCAAATAAACACAAATATGATCACAATTTATGTTCTCTAGCACAGCTAAGTCAGTTACTGTAATTATGTAACGACCCAAAAATCAAAGGTAAAAATTTCATTTTTAATATAGTCAACACATAGATATCATTATTTCCAGACATCCAGAACATTATTAATTAAAACATTTATCAGAGTCCATCCCAAAATCATTCAATGCGGAAAGCATGGGTATGTGTACTGCGATCAATCCGGACTGTAACACCCATAAAATTCAAGCCAAATTTAAACTTTGTAACACATTTTAAAACCATTAAGTTATTACATGTTGTTTTCAAAATAGTTTAGACATCAGAGAATTCCCAGAATCAATCATGAAAGTATGAGAAGGTGCACGATCACGCCTTCGCCTTCCCGCAATCATCCGAAGTGCCTGAAACAAAATCAACAACTGTAAGCCCGAAGCTTAGTGAGTTTCCCCAAAATACCAACGACATACAAACATAACCATATCATATAACTAATACAGAACATCATGCATAATGAGTCATTAGCTTGACTGGACCGCCTCACAGGCCTTCAGTCTATCTGGACTGCTCTTCGAGCCTTCGACACGTCTAGACCGCCACGCAGGGCCTACAGCCTATTCGGACCGCTTGCCAGGTATGTTGGCCTACAACACAAAGCAGGACCGCCTCAACCCAACCCTCAATAAAACAAACATGTGCACATAAATATCATACGCTAGCTCATTTCATATAACAGTCAAACCGATCTAACAGATCACCAATCATAGCAACATCCCAATGATGTGTGTAAAACCAACTAGTTTTAATCCTACTAACTTAAACACAAAGACAAACACACGAAAGGCAGGGTACCTATCGATTATCAGTTTAGTTCAGGTAAGTAGGGTATCGAACACAGGGAATGGTAAACAATTAAAATAGATGCTAATATTATCTAAATAAAACAAGTAATAGAAAGAGTTTTCTCTAGTTTTGCAAGACTAGAAACTTAAACAATTAACTAAAACTTAAACTAAGAAACTAAGAGCTAAGCAAATAAAAATCAACTAAATTCAATAATAAAGATGACTTCTGTTTAGGTTCGACTTATTTGTTCCCATGGATGATTTCGATGTATCAGATTAATTCCTCATAAGCTACCGACTAAGATGATTAGTTCCACATTCGCTATTATTAATCCTTAGGAAACAAATTAACTCAAGCAGTGACCAGTTGTCTAAATCAACGGATTTCCTAGTTATTGATTCGGGTTAAATAAGACTTGTAATAGTTAATCAAATTGGTGATTCAATTAACCTCTTGTTAATGGTGTATCACACAAGCTCACACATTAACTTACCTATCTTCAAGTTAATTATAGTTTCACATTCGTTATTCCTAGACATACAACTATGTGGTCACGTAAATCATATGAAATTAGCAACTAAGAGATGTTCATACAACTTAATTACTAATTTATTAACAGAAGAATAGTTATTGTTAACACATAAGGTTCTTTAACAAGCTTAATAAAACATAATCACCAATTAAAATTAATCCTACTCAAATAATCAATCCATGTTCACAAATTCATCTACCTAAACAGAAGTTATGAGTTTTTAGCTCATGATTACAACAGAAACAAGCACAAAAACGAAATCAATTGGTAAAAACATAGTTCAAACAAGAGACTAGGTAAGAGTAAACTTGATTTTGACTTGATTCTCCTTAAAATTGAATGTAGGGTTGATTCCCTTGCTTCCCACGCTCCAGCAGCACCTTTAGTCGACAATTGGCCTCCAAGGGTTCACCTCTATGCTAGGGTATCGATCTGAAAGTCCCTTTATATAGATTTTCACAAAACAGGGGCTACTCGGCGAGTCCAGTGACCTACTCGCCGAGTACATCACTTAAAACCCGTGTATGGCAAGTCAGCGCGTCCAGAATCGCGAAAGTTCGATACAACTCGCCGAGTAATCGACCCTACTCGCCGAGTACGTTTCGAATCAGCATTTTCTCAAAACACGAAAGTCTTCCGAAATTGTGTCTACTTTTCAAAACATTTTGAATCTCGTCAATTGGAGTTACGGTTCATGAGATATGGCCAAAACACTGACGAGGGGTCAAACTGTCCAACAACATCCTTCTTTCTTCAAAATCCAAGATCCAAGCGTCCAATCGCCAGTTCCGCTTCCTTTTCCATCCGAGCATGTCTTTGATACTAAAAATGAAATATTTAAGCTAATTAAGCACCTTTTGTTCATTAAATGAGACAAAAACAACATAAAGTCTTAAGATAATGCATGGATTTTATAGCTAAATATGCCCATATCACCCAACAACCGAGATACAGACCTAACCGGTCACTAACATAGCATCATCCTATAACCAGGACAATCATGTGCACATAGACATCATATAACACTATCATGTGTGTATGTATATATATATATATATATATATATATATATATATATATATATATATAACACTCAAACCGATCTAACAGACCACAAAGCATAACAACAATCCTATAACCAGGATATCGACCTAACAGGTCACTAACATAGTATAATCCTATATACCAGGATATCGAACCAACCGGGTCACTAAAGCATAGCACATCACTATCCTAACTATCTTGATATAAATCAGTAAGCATAACATGCAATAATCCGAATACAATCCATAAAGGGTCGACCTTGGTGCCTTAGATGCTGTTGATATAGTGAGGAGAACTCACTTGGCACTACTGAAGTCCCACAGGTACACTCCAGCTGCTGATTGACAGATTTTCGAACTGTCAACATCAAACAATACCGAATTAATAATTGGGTTCCAAGCCCAAAGTCCAACTCACACTCCAAAAGCCCAAAAGTCAAGTAATGGGCCAAGGCCCAACATATGGCCTAATCTTCCAAATTGGGCCCAAGTCCTCACATGGGCCTTATCCTAAATCCCATCTAATTACTTTGGTCCATTAACTTGTTATTGGATGGTCCATCAATAGTTTAACCTCCAAAACCATATAGGAAGGCCCAACTCAATTCGTAATCTGAAGTCTCGAGATGGTTTGGCTCCCTGACAGGCTACCCACACTGGATCATTGTCGAATTCACTGCACTTAACTCCCAACTGGCTACTCATCTTCTGATAATCTGA